ATGTTCATGCTGATTGAAATGTTTGGAAACATCCTGTTTGACGTAGCTGGAAAGAGATTTTACCCATGGTGAAATGGAATGCTGGAAACAGCGTGTCTCCACACTGGCCATCGGTATGCGTGGGTTTGATGATGAGCCTTCAGAGCTCATTAGTGTGTTTCCTGCCTATGAACACTTGTCCATGAAACCCCCCGTGTTGTATGCTGTGGTGACTGATTTTTCCTTCAAATGGTTCCAGCTCATAAAGGCTGACTAGTTATGAATAAGCTAGGCAAGCTTGGAAAAAGACTTGACATCGAATTTTACTTCAGGCATTTGAAACTCCTGAAGTATTTTGTGGTTATAACAATTATCATGATACACTAGAATTAACTGACTGGAGTTTAGCAATAGCTGAATGTTTGCCACCTTCTGGACTGCTAACAAATTCAAATACCCTTATTTTTCTTTCAGCATACCAGATAACTCTTTATAGGCTTTTATCCTGCTCTATGAATATGCTTTAAAAAAGAAGTCTATTATTTGTGGTAAAAGAGCATAGATGATTTAAGACTCCAGTGCTGTGAAATTGTAAAATAATGAGGTTGTAAGTTCTTAAATATTCCCACTAAAGGTCCTGTCAGTGGCAGTGCTTGGCTACGTTAGGATGCCGGTGGTCCCAGTGGACCGTGGATGGTGCAGTGCCTCACGGCAGCCTGCTCGTCTGTTTTTCTATGGTTCTTGCAAAGGATTTGGGGTGACCTTGCTGTGTTCACACATGAGAGGAACTATCAACGTTTTCTTGGCTAAGCAATATGGAGATCTGAAGGCATTCATTGTAATGCTTGTAAAAGATAAATGGGGCAACAATAGGATCAACTGAGGCTTATTTGTAGCGAAGCTCAGGGTTGGTTTGGGTTTTTTGCAATTGAAAAGGGGAGGGGGAGTGTGACAAAACTGTGAATTACAATTTTCATAGAATCCACTGATTGCATCAAGAAAGTGACAGTTATAGAGGTATTTTGAAGAAATCTTATCTTGGTTATTTTCTTTTGAAGTGTTTCTGGCAGCCAAGGGTAGATAACAGCTGAACGGCCTGTAGTGACAGGACAAGGGGTAATGGGTTTAAATTGAAAGTGGGGAGGTTTAGATTGGATATCAGGAAGAAGTTCTTCCCGGAGAGGGTGGGGAGGCACTGGGACAGGTTGCCCAGAGAAGCTGTGGATGCCCCATTCCTGGAAGTGTCCAAGGCCAGGCTGGATGAGGCTTGGAGCAACCTGGTCTAGTGGAAGGTGTCCCTGCCCATGGCAGGGGGGTTGGAACTGGATGGGCTTTTAGGTCCCTTCCAACCCTAACCATTCTGTGATTCTGTGAATTGGGTATCATGCAACAAAATGTCTCTCTTAGATGGGTGAAGAGTTGATGCTAAAATGAAATCAGGATATAGTTTTAAATATGTCTCATTCTTCTTGAAAATGTAAGAAATTTTATAATCTTACAATTTACTTTCCTGAAACAAATGTTTCAGTTGTAGGCCAAGGAAACCAGTAACTTCATCTTCATCTAACCAGTAACTTCATCTGCTTAATGGGCAATAGCCCAGTGCTCAGAAGGATCAGGTGGTTCGAATAGCTCGCCCAGCGATATGTATGTGTGGTGAACCGCGCTAA